ATTCGGAAGGGAATGATTCAGATTTCTCTTGGCACAGTTACTAGAAGACTTACAACTGTCAGACAGGTTGCTCACGTCACATCTACGTCGTCAAGCTCAGTTTGAGGCTGCGCAGTACGCTCAGCCATCAGGAAGTGAGTGCTTCTAATTGACTTCACTTTTCTCCGTTGAAGTCTATGGGGTCGCTGTGTCCATTTCTTTTACTGTCTACGGTAGAAATGGGAGTAGAAGACTCAGTGGTAAATATTTAAAGGAACACGCCGACTTTTTGGGACTTTAGCTTATTCACCGTATCCCCCAGAGTTAGATAAGTTCATACATAGCCTTTTCATCTCCGTGCGTCCTGTAACTCTGTCTGACGCACCCACCGCTAGCCTAGCTTAGCACAAAGACTGCAAGTAAATGGCTCCAGCTAGCATACTGCTTAAGTGACAAAATAAGGCCAAGGCCCAAGTGGCAGTGCTTCGCCTTCTGAGAATATAGTTCCCAGTGCTACTGTGCAGTATGTATACGGTTAAAAGATGCCTGTGTCTCATATGACCTTGTTATTTCTACACACTGTGACTATAAAAATCACAACATATAAATAGGAAAATGTTGGTGTTATTTTGTCACTTATTGGGAGCAGTATGGAGCATCCGTTATTTCTGTCATACTTTGGCTGGCGTTTTTATTCATACAAATGATTTTAAACCATTCAAGCCTAGACAAATTGATCGAGGTCTCTTTTGGCTTGAAGTTGAATGAACACTAACACACGCAATTATGCCGAAATGTCCGTTTTGTCGAGTATCCTCATAAGAGCAGACTGAACAGTGTTAAATAAGTTAAATAAAGTCTTAAATGTGAAGAGTTGTAGGAGAATGAGGCGCGTGAAAGATCCGCGTCTCTGTCAGCAGCGGCTGGTCTTAAAGGGACAGCAGCCTATAAAGCTTTCTGTCAGTAAAGTTAATCAAAGAACAAAGGGAACAGAGAAAATCACTCACTGCTCTTGACTAAATAACTTTTTGTAACGTTAATAACGATTAATCTATATATATATATATATATATATATATATATATATATATAAATATAATTTAAAATGTATGCAGTGCAAACGGTTTGATAACTTTATTCAATTTCTGTATATTTCTTATACCTGTTAGACAAATATTTAAATATACTGTCTTTATGCTGTTTCTACATTAATATGGAGATTAACTGTGAAATTATTACATTATAAAATATATTAAAAACGTAAGATTTTTTTTAATGGCGATTAATCGTGATTAATCAGAAAGAAAATGTGTGATTAATCTAATTTTTGCAATCGATAAAAATAAATAAAAAAGAAACATGAATAAGTCTTATTCATGTTTATTTTTATTGAATATTATGTATTTATTTATGTTAATATCTGCGCAATTAATGTGTATTTAGCCTGCCTCTGCCATCCAGCACCCCCCTTCTTTCTTTCTTTCTTTTTCTTCCTTTCTTTCTCTCTCTCTCTCTCTCTCTCTCTCTCTCTCTCTCTCTCTCTCTCTCTCTCTCTCTCTCTCTCTCTCTCTCTCTCTCTCTCTCTCTCTCTTTTCAACCCCCTTCCATCTCATCCTCCGTCTCTCTCTGTCTCTGGGTTGTATTGCATTGCCTCAGCAAAGAACTCAATAAGTGAAATTGATATAAATTACAATTTGATGCTTATGATTAATGGCAGAACTTATTGTACGAATGCAGTTTAAGTAAACTAGTATTTTTTGCAAATTGATTGCACACTATTAAACTGAGTTTCAAATAACTGTATTACATTATATTTCGAGTGTAGATTTATTTAAACACATATACAGGTGATGTGAAAATAAGTTCATAAACTTGCGGACAGCAAAGCCGGGCTAAAAATGCCTCATACACTACAAGAATATACTCACATACAGAGAGTGAGATATTCCCCTTTAGTGCGAGTCTGCTAATGGACCCACAGATAATTATTCTAACACCATGGTTCATAAAGATTCACATTCACAAGTGTGTGACTGTCTAGCCACTTACATAAGTACATAAGTAGTGTATCATGTGTACATTTGCCATGTGTTGTATGAAATGCAATATGACTGTGTGTATTAATTTGCAACTCAGTGAGGCCACTAGTACACAGTGTGCCTGACTAATTCAAGATATTATTTAATTACGCAGGATTTCGCTCTCTAAATAATTTTAGTGCATATGAAATACTATGATATTTTTTAGATTTTGAAACAAAATTACAGCTTTATTTGTGTATTTATAAAGCTTAGTTAAAAATGTACTTTAAAAGATATTGCTTGGTAAAAATATTGAAATCATAAATATTTTAAGCTATATCCCAAATTGAAAATTATTTTAAATTAATTTGTTTGAAGTGTATATGAGAGCCACCAGAGGGCACTCCACATCAGACTAAATTGTCATTCCCTCACAAACTACATTTCCCAACTCACTGCCCGGACTCATCATCCCTGATTGCATCCACCTGTGTCTCATTACCTTGTTAGTCTCAGCCTATTTAAACCATGTACACGCATTCATTCCCTGTGAAGTCTTGTATGTTGTCGCACTGTATTTCTGAGTGTGTTTGTATCCTGTTTCTCCTGTGTCTTGATTCTCTGCCTTTCCCTTGGATTCTCTCTTTGCCTCAGCCCTAATCTGTTATTGTTTGTTTGTGTATGACCCTTGCCTGTTATCTAGATTACGTTTTTGGATTACTCTGTTCAATAAATACTTCTCAACCTTCTTGTCTCGGAGCAATTTGTGACAGAATGCTTATTTTCCTTTCCTTTCTTTTGTAAACATTCTTTTTCTCACTCGCTGTATAGTGTAGCTGGTGGACTTTCCTCATGAAATGAAATGACTGGACAATGATCGCTGGTTTACCACATCCATTTGATTTTACTGATGTTTGTGTGGCTTCAGTTGCATGTGGAATGTTGTTCTGAGCTCAGACCGCAGATGAGTGTAAATTAAACCACATAAAGTGAAGAGTTGTTATTGTATGTTTCAGATAGCTGCCAATCCTCAAAGACAGAACAACCAACAACTCAGCCTGATGGCCTGCTGCCATTGCCATCTGAAAACAAGAAAGGGGAGAGATGTGAGGATTATGAGAATGTGATAACATAATCAATCAGATGAAAGAGTGCATCATTAATCAATAACTACTGACTTAAGAATTAAGTAATGAGGAAATTCTGTTGCAAGAGGTTTTTGTTCAAACTCGAGACATTTAAAAGGACTGACAATGCATTCATATATCCAGATCTTTTCTCAGTACATAGTTTTTTTTAACGACTGTTTATGTATTTTATTTGAGGTTTATATAAGCTATATTTATATTTTACTCCAACAATACCAGCTATAATTGGCTTTTGTGTCAGTAATTGCTCAGAGATCAGTATAATTTGTTTCCTTTTGTGTTCTGAGTTGGCTATCACAACAAAACATATCTGTGGTTCATATGATTTTGGTCCCTTTTGATCTCTATAGAATCTCTCTTAAGCTTTAGCTCTGTAAAATGCACCAACACATTTCATTACATACAGTCTGCAGAACTAACCTCGACTCTGCTGAGTGAGTTGTGACATCAGTAAGCAACAGTAAACTGACTTAACACTGTAACAATGGAGATGTGATAATGTTCAATTCTCTGGAATGCTTGTTTAATGGATGATTAATAAGAGGTATTGGATGTCTGTTTGGAGCAGCTGGTTTGGTGTTTTTCTTCAGATTATTTAAAAAGTACTGCAGGCCTTTGTTTGTTTGGCAGGGCTCAGGATTTCAGCTGACAGGGAGCTAGATCTAGAGTAGTTAAGTTATGTAATCCATTTGAAACAAACCACAGCAACTGACATGCTGTGGTCGAGAGGGTCATCCAAAAGTGTTTTTTCCTATGTTAGCTAAGGATAAGTGAGGAAGAAAATACAAGATTGTGAAGATTCATTGTGGCTCATTTATGCCACACACGCAGAAGAGTAAATTGTTGATAAAATACATACATTGTTGAATCAAATTGAATGTTTTACGAAATATTCACAATGAAATGCATTCCATTCTCATGGGGATAATTGGTCATTTTATGGAGAAAGTAGGCCTATAAGTATAATTTCACAATAAGTTATTGAAAATACACAAAATAAGTTAAAACAAAATGCTGTATAAGCACTGAATCTGAATCAGGGAAACTAGTCAAATGTAATAGCATTAAATTATATATCTTCTTATACATTTATATATAGACTTGTACACCCCTACTTACATGTATTTAGTAAAATACTGCATGCAAAATATGTATAGGCCTATATATATCAAGAGATAAGCAAGCCTCTTGGCAAATATCCTCTCTGAGACTTCATAGATTGTTCATGTATAATGATAAATTAATCATTAATCATTGAGACTGCAAGTGTAACATTGAAAAATATATTATTTTAACAAATAAAGCTTTATTTTAATTAGATAATTTCACTATGTTTAAACAGATTTGTTAATATTGTTAAAATATTTTTTATTATCCAGAGTTTATGAATGTGCATTTCCAAGACACTGGTTACATTTATTTGAAAGATTTACTGATGGATTTGGCATGTTCAGGCAGCCTTGGGCTGAACTTTAAATCTTTGCTGACATGATAAGCTCTTGAAGTTGTCTTTATGGGTGCAGGCCTAGTTCACCTGTCCACCTGTGTGCTGCTCATTAATTATATTATATCACTTCAACCTATTAGTCTTTGTGTAAAACAAGGCCATCAATAACGAATGAAGTGATTGAAATACTCTTCATAAATAATTGCGTTCTATCTTATTGTCAACTCATAGCATGGCATTTGTCCAGCTCTTTGCTGTGTGTATTGGTAAAAAATGATCAAGTCTTTGTCTCAAGTATCACACCCATTCATGTTGTGAAACAGAGCTGGTCTGTCGTTGGTGTGACTCACTTCTGAGTGTGCAGCACTGTGCAGTAAAGTAGGCTCTTGCACAAGGCTCTTCTGGGTGGGGCAGACCATAATAAAACACTTCCCCATGCTTTGCAGTGCGTGGCTAACAGCGAGGGAAACAGTCGGAAATGGCGGCGGACTGGAAAAAGAAGTGCGATTCCCAGTGGCAGCTGGGGGCTCACGGTGTCCCCATGCCCGACAGCGTGGACTGGAAATTGGTGTACGAGAAGAAGCCGTTAAAGCGCAACTTACTGAAGAACCCCTCGCCTTACGGTAATGACGTCACACAGACGTACGCTGGCGCTGCTAGTTTACAGTGTTGATGAAATCTCTACTACTGGAGATCTCTGCTTGAACTTTGTTGTAACTTTAGAACGTAACACTGTTATGTTGAGATGGAGTGGAGGGGAACGATGATGTAGGCCTAGTTGTTACACCGTTAGTTAAACTAGCGGCGAATCATGCATGAACACCACCCTACTAACATAAGTTACACACTGTTGCTGTGTCTCATTGCGCAGGTTGCGGACTTGCGCTCTGAAAAGTCACCATTACATTACAAAGCAAGGAAAGAAATTATAGGCTAGTAATTTATGACACACAACGAATAATACCAGTCAATTTTATAATGGTTACTTTTCTAAAATGAGACATCCTCGATGTATTGTATTATGTATTTTAGTTCTTTGTTGTTATTGTTAATTAAATCAATAATTCGATGTAGCCCTACTTCATTTTTCCAAATGGATGGCTGTTTTAGAATAAAATGTTCCCTATAGTTTTAAAGATACAGAGAAGATACACAATTAAATGTATTTATGAATAAAATTCACAGGGCTAGTTGGTAGAGTGGCATTATCTTCGTAGTAACAAAGTCATGTTTCATGAAGAAGGCAATTTAAAAAAATATATAAATGATGGGGATGATTTATAATGTTGTATTATGTAAAAGAGAAAGAAGCTGCTTTCAAAATATTTAATATTTGGCACTGCAAATGTTGCTCTTAAATTATAGTCTATGGATTATGGATTTATATGTTTTTGCCTACAAGGATATTTTACATATACCTTTGAAAGACAGTATTTGCAATTACATTTTACTGTAATAGAAATTTAATATTTTCATGCAAATCTTTTTTACTCATCTTTTTTTTTCTTGCTCAACAACTAGGTGTAAACCACACCGTGCCACCACCTGAACCCCATCGGTCGGAAATGCCTCCTCCTCCAGACCGGCCACCTCAGTTAGAGCCCGATGGTGAGTCAGCAATCAACACAGTAATATATTTGCTGCCTAAAAAGCTCACCACTGCTGAATATTACATCCACTGCAATGGAAATTTGTTATATCTGACATTTGACTAGAACATGAATTGTTAATTGGTTGAACTTTACACCCAAAATATTTGCCATTCTTAATATCTTTGCTTTCTAATTAAAAAAAAAGATGATTGAGAATTTAATCTTGTACCTGGATGTTAATTGTAGGCAATTTCTCTGGCTGGAAAACTAGTACAGAAGTTTTGCCATACGACACTAGTGGAATACCCCCCGGGGTTGTGATCTGCCAGCTGCCTCAGTACAGGTGAAGCCCAGTTTTGTGAGAAAAATGACTTGTCTCAAAAACGTATAAAAACATTTGTCATGTTCCAGTACCACAGGTAATTTTATTTAGTCACTTGTCACTTTTATATGGTGTTTGCATATAAATGTGTCTTTGCAGTGTGTGGACTCAACCACCATACAATGAAAAAAATCCTTTCACTCCTTTTTTTTAATCCTCAAAAGGCCTAAACACTCTCAATAATCAAGCCATTTGGATTTTCTGAGCAATATAATGTCATATTGCACATGCTCCGCCCACGACCACTGACGGACTGTCCCATATTAGCATATTTCCGCCCTCAGCCATTTGTATACTGTCCACCAAGGCAGGTTGCCATGGCAGCACTTTATGTGTCTTGTGTGACACCCCCCATGGAAGAGAGTGGTGGGGTGAGCAGTTGCTCAGTATCATTTAAAGAGACATGCACTGAAACGGGTCGCTGTGAACAGAGCTGTTTTTGAGGAGGTAAAAAGGAGGAGGTACCCCTTTATTACCCAAAACTTAACATATTGTTCCCTTATACCTACACGGAAGTACACTATAATTACAGAAACGTACACCGTAATTTCGGTTTACTTACGAAGTTCTTTGCAGGTTGTATATCTGCTTGTTACCCCTTTATCACGCAAAACTTAACATATTGTTCCCTTATACCTACACGGAAGTACACTATAATTACAGAAACGTACACCATAATTTCGGTTTACTTAGGCAGTTGTTTGCGGGTCGTAATATAAAGTGTTACCCCAGTTTGTCAGGGTAAGCAGAAGGTCATATATATATTCTGTCTGATATGGCCTTTGTGTATCTTTACCTCAGGTGGTTTTCTCTGGAGCAGCATGTGGACCTGAAGGCAGAGGGTCTGTGGGACAAACTGCTGGATGAGTTTCAGCCTGAGATAGTCATTGAGGACTGGTGAGTTATGAACTAGTTATAAAACTATGTATTTGCAGTTTAAGCAATCTTCAGTAACAGTAATGCAAACTGAGCTGCAAAATGCAACTGGATATCAGTTAAGCTAACAAAGTTAGCTGTTATGCAATCTATCCGTGTCCACACATTCAAATGTTTTACAACTAAAGAAAAATGGACAAAAAGCACAAATCAATTTGAATGAATTTCTGACATATCGGAACAATTTAATCTGTGACATAACTATATTTTGGATTTTAAAAACAGTTGCATTGTTGCAATTGCTACATATGTCATGTCTGTGGTGGTCATAGTGCTTTAGACATTGTGGTTTCAGCCTTAATGGCAGCTTTAATATGCCCTTTCACTTTTAATGTCTGGGTGTTTCCCTTCATGTGTAGGTATGAGGAAAGCCAGCTTCATAAATCTATCTATCAGCTCGATGTGAAGCTCTTGGGTGCTGATGCTAAGACAGTCATCAAGCAGCATTCATTTAACCCTGAAGAGAACCTGGAGCACTACGCACACACCTGGAAAAAGGTAACACACACGTGCATATTCACACATTTATATTCATTATTTTTTATATACATGTGTCCACATAACATTTTAATTTGTATAGGTCTCCCATGTATTCTCCAAGTATGGGCCGGGGGTGAGGTACATTCACTTCCTCCACAGACTGAAGAACCAGTTCATGGTTGAATTCTTTAATACCAAAGTCACAGGCAGCTCGATTATTGTCAAGACCAGCAAATCCAGTGTGAAATAATGCAACACATTAAAATAAACCGGTAGGAGTTGATGCATCCCTGCCAGTTGATGTAGACTTTGAGATGTAGACTATTTAGAACAAAGCACTAATTGTTTCAAATGCTTTATAAATTGACTGCACTTTCATAAGATGTATCCAGCAGCTTAATAATGTAATAAAACATTCCTCATTCATTTTGTGACACTGTTTCTTTCCTGTATTCACAATAGCACTAGATGCATAGATATTGCTATTATATTTTAGTATTTCAGGCCAGCAGATGGCGCTCACTCATTGCAAATAAGACACTGTGAAATTGAACTGTACATGACCAAGTAGTTTCTATGAAAATAGAAACAATTGCTACAGTTATTTTTACTACGGTAAAATTATAAATTAATATGGAATCATCTTTCTAATTTAGAATCTTGTATTTCTGTTTTTCATGACAGTGGCTGTATTTATTTTTTAGTGACAGTAGAAACTGGTAATTTTTTGTAAGGGGAGTTAACAAACAATATGTAACTATTTTTAATAACTATAAATATATTACTATACAGGCTATTATATAATTTATATAATAACTATTAACATTTGAATAACTTTTTTTAACAATTACTGTAAGAATAGCTAACCCTTTTAATGAATAAATGTATATTATAGCGCAACTTTATAAAGTTTTATATTTGCTTCGAATTTGAGTGATTCTACCCTCAGGCAAAGGCCAGTGTTTAGGTATTTTGAGAAACGCTTTGACGCACCAATCAGAGCGTCGCGTTGAGCTGTTGAACAGTCTATCGCGTGCTGTGCGCGTGAAAGATGCGCGCATGTTTGGGATGCTGGCACACTTCAGGACAGAAACAGATACACCACGAAAACTAATGGCGCGATTCACCTGAGCACTCGAAAAGCATCCTCCACTGCCTCCGGTCATGTCCGTCCTAACCATTCCAGGTCTGCCATAGATATTAAGGTAAGTTCTGTTGAATAACTTTAATAAACCACACTCACGTGGGCTTCATAGTAGCCTACTTTATTAACTTACTAGTGTTCAGGCATGCACATTGGTTTACTAATTGCCACCACTACATCTGTCAGAACCGAATACGCTCTTGACAGCTTCTTTGCGTTTGGCATCATAAACCGAGGAATGAAATGAACTCTTTATAATTATGTTTTCTAGTGTTTAGCTGTCTTTTATACTGTTACCTCACAGAGTCGCATCTGATAGCAGTCGCATGTGCCTCAGTCTGTGGCTGTTTTACACAAGTTATTAATGAGCCGCTCAACCTTGGGTCTGCTAGGTTTCTTTTGTATTATTTAGGAGTCGATGAAAGCTAAAAAACGAGAGTCGTTTTCACCCTACACAGGAAAAAGAGCAAAAGGGCAGTTGTTACCTTGAAAGAGTTATTTCTTTTGGCACTGGCCCTTACAATTACTCTTGTTGGTGTAAACGAATGTAGTTTGATTAATTCATGTTAAATCATAATAAATCCAGTTCATTTAGATGTTACCACATAGGTTATGTGACAACATGCAGTGGGTATAACTTACATGCAGCCCCCCTATTGGTAGCCTACCTCAGACCCAGGGATGGCCTGAGATACCCCCAGTCAGCTCACTGCATGCCTTTTAATCTATTAAAAATTCACTGATAGAAAACAGAGATAGATTGAAGTATCTTTTTCAATCCATTCACTTGATTGTATATTTAAAAAAAAAAGCTGTATGTGATCTACCAGTGAACTTAATGTAGGCTAACTGAAAATACAATGTAAAATAAGCAGTTGGTCACTTTAACTGATCTTACTTTTAAAGATAACTTTCTTTGCCCTAACTTAATGTATTCGGATTGATTCAGTCATATTAAATTATATATCTTTTATTTTTTTATTTTTTTACTGTGAATCATTTAATTGCCCTTTTTGGAGCACAATTTACAGTGCTAATTAAACAACTTTTGTGATGATGCGAGTTTGAGTAGTGTGGATTTATGTTTTTTTTTTTCTAGGCTATTTTGCAGACCAATCCCCTTGAATAGCTCAATAGTTTTTTTTTGTTGTTGTTGTTTTTACTTTTATGTCCTCTCAGTTAGAGGATCTTGTCTCACTGATAAAGTGGTCTGTTAAAAATTCCTGCAGCAGAGTAATACTTAAAGTCTTGGATTACATGAAAGTCACGTTTGTCTGGTGGAAGTTTGCGCGGTCAAAGTGGAACTGATTAAACGGTAACCCGTCTAGCTCAGAAAAGGTGTTGTCTTTCGAAATGGAAAAAAGAAACAGAATATTTAGTTACAATGTGCGGTCAGTCAGTAACGTGGATAAACGTGACTGCAAGTAGACCGGACACATGAATGAGTTGTGGTGAGGATGAGGATGATGATGATGGTTATGAAGGTTGAGTAGAAGTGATTCTGCCCTGAAGACTGTCTCTTTACAGAGAAAGTGTGGGCTCAGGTCAATACAGGAGTTCAGTTATCTTAATCACTTATACTTTCACTTACTTACTATAGCTAATTTTAACATTCTCTAGTCCCAGAATCTGCAGTCCCAAATGTCTTCCATTTTCTTGTTTTGTTTCTGAGAAAATCCTTCAGAGCACTCACATGGAAATACAAGCAAAGCAGACACTATTCAATAGCAGCATCTCCCACATTGTCACACACACACACACACACACACACACACACACACAAACAGGTTAGTGGTTAAACTCCCTGGGATGGAGGGGCAATTCTAAACAGTAAAGTATCCATGAAGTTGTGTAAGAGACAGACACATGAGACTCGGCATGTGTCCAGTATGACAGACCATCTTTTCAGAAGCACATACATACTGTAGACAGACATATACCATGAACAAACTAAGCCAAAGATGTGCATTGATGTTTCTTGAGCAGCAAATCAGTATATGATTTCTGAAAGATCATGTGACACTGACTGAGGACTGGAGTAATGATGCTGAAAATTGAACGGTAGTGTGTATGTGAGACTGATGATGAAAAAAAAAAAAATCTCCATCCATTCTTTCCTTCCAAGTAAACCAACAACACTTTATTCATATTTATTTATAAACACTTTAATTTAAACTAATGCATTTTGGTGCAAAGACCTTCGGCAGAGTTAGAAGAAATAAATAAATCCTTTAAATTCAATCCTTTAAAAGCAACTTTAACTTAACTTTAATAAACCTTTAAGAACAGAAAACCCCCAAAGTATTTTCTTTTCTAGCAAATGGTTTTACCTCCTTGGTCAATGTAAAGGATTTATTTTCACCCACTGTTAAGTTTTCTGATGAAAACTTGTGTGCCAAAACACCCCAGGTTTGAGATTAATAAATACATTTGAAGAAAGTACTGCTGGTTTACCCTCTCTACAAGTGTTTGTGCAACTTCACTACCAAATAAGGTGCATTGAAGTAGCAAGTTTTCACAAAACCATTCTCTCTCTTTCTCTCTCTTTCCCTGTTTCCCACTCTCTCTCTCTCTCTCTCTCTCTCTCTCTCTCACACACACACACACACACTATTTCTCTCTGTTCAGGGCTGTACAGTAGGATTTGGTTTGTTGTGAGCACACAGCCAGACAGGTGTGTTTTCTGCTCTTTGGACAGGTAATGCATTGCCTGCAGAATGTGATACTCTAGGAGTGAGGTAAGACTGAAATGGTGCTCTGGAGAGTTCATCTGCACTGGAGGAATATGGACAGAAGGGATAAGTGAAGGGTTGTGAATAAATGAGTACTTAGATGGTGGTTCGGTTTGCATAATACACTCAAATACATAATAAATATACATGACAAATATGATGTTCTGTGGTAGAATGTGTATTTGCACTGTGATTCACTATGTTTGGTATTGTGGAAGAAGTGTGTTTGTGAGAGTAAGTGATGGATGCTTTTCTCTTTACTGTAGATTTGTGCTCCTCCTTTAGAATTGATTGTCAGCAAGAGTATTTAATGATAATTACATTTCAGTAATCTATCTGAAAATCTATCACCTGATATTGGACTTTCAATTATTTCAGCCTATTTGTATTTTAAGATATAGAACATCTTCTACAAATTAAAGAGATGGCGATAGATTATGGCAACAACAAAATAAATGCTGTGCACATGTAGTGATAACAGAGCTATGAAAAAAAGTAAATTTCTTGAAAAAAGTATTTTTAACGCTACTTTGATATTTGCAGTAACACAACCTTTATTATATAACACCTATTCATTCATATATGTTGATTATAACTCACTTTTTGACATGTTTAACAATATAGTATAGATTTATTAGACTTATAAAGTTGGCCAGAATGTCAGCACCCTTACTGTTCATAGTTTTATGTTTTGTAATGTAAGCGCTATAACATTTAAATGTCAAGCAATAACCAACAAAAATTTACTTGCAAAAGCACTTGCAAATAATTATGCTACTCATGGTTTAATAAAGTTCTTAGTGATAGATTTTTGTTAAGTTTCTTATGCTTAACAAGGCTGTATTTATATTGTGAAATATTATTACAATTTAAAATAACTTCTGTTTTAATATACTATTTTAATAAACCATTTCTTCAGTGTCATATGATACTTCAGAAATCATTCTAATATGCTGATTTGGTGTATGATTTGGCTGATTTTAGCATTTTTTAAAAATATTATTATCGATGTTGAAAATAGTTGTGCTGCTTAATATTTTTGTGGAAGGATTTCAGGATTTGTTTTATTATTAGAATAGAACGTTCAAAATAACAGCATTTATTTGAAAGAGGTTTTTTTAAAACCAAAAAATGTTCAAACTTCAAACATTTGAATGATATTGTCTCTGTACTCTACATTTCATCATTCTATATTTCTGATGAATTAATTTAATGTGTATGTGACATGCAGGTTGTTGTTTACTAAATTTTTTTTTTTTTTTTGATGTGCTTCTTCTAGCACAGCTTCTTACACAGACTCACTCTTGACTTCCAGTTGCTCTGTTTCAGTGTGGGATGATAATGAAACTGCAGGTTCTGAGCTGAAGCTCTGCAGCTGCTGCTGAAGTCTTGCCATTGCTTTGGCTCTCACACAGAGCTCTACCTGAATCTACCTCCTGAGGTTACCTGAGTCGACCCACCTCAAAATACTACCCCATGAGGCACTAGTAAGTCATTTGAGATTGTTTTGGCTTGAGCTGCCTCAACTGCCTTTACATATTCTGTATTTC